TTTATCAATCTATGCATGTAGTGCCGGCAAGTTACCGGCAAATTTGGTACATACCCTTACTACGAAGATAACTTGTAGGTGACAACGAGTGGCGGATTAAAAAAAGATTTGAAAATTTTCGTGATGAAGGAATTGTCCATCATGGGCTCCTTACATATATATATATATATATATATATTAATTCCGAAACATGAAAAGTTAAATCTATAAACTTTTTTTTTCTTTTTTCAACTTCTTAGGCCATCCTTAAGTGTATGCTTCCTCCATCATCAAATAATTCACATTTCCGTTAAAGAAAAGAAACATTGTTTGTGTCGATATCTCTTTCATTGAAGATTGGGATAAATAAACAGCTCGACAGTTACCCTGCGATCAAGAAGGTGTTGAAAACACGATATTTGTTTTAAAGAAGTCATGTTCTTTTAAGAGAGAACAAAACAAACTGAAATATATATGTAGATGCATATGTTTGTATGAAATTAAAATAGGAAAGGATAATAAGGCTGTGTTGTGGCAAATGCAATTCAAAATTTTTGAACTTCCTGAGCAGTAAACGCCATATTTAATTATATTAAATATATTGAGTTGATTTTTGTTGAAGAAAATTGAAGCTGACTGATAACCCGAATGGTATTTCAATTTCGGTTGCATACAAACAGAGTCCTATATCGTTCCATCAACACAGATGTTGTATTGTTATAGATATTGTTTATTAAAGCCATATATATGTATATGATAAGCCGTAACATAAACAAACGGTAAAGAAATCATTGTTTACTGGAAAAATAATCAGAGCATTATTATACCCGGCTTCAGTCAAATTTGTTTATATTCGTATTAGTACATCATAACAAGATGTTTTATCCGTCTTAATGTATATACAGCTTTCCCTCGTATAACACGGCTAATTCGTATCGCATTGTATCGAAAGTGGGTTATATGAATTCCTTTGAGTCCCAGACGGTACAGAAAAAAACCCTGTCGAAGAAATCCAAGCAGCGCGACCGCGGTGTTTAGATTTCATGTTGAGAAAAAACAACGCGATCGCGCTACTTGGGATTCTTAGACAGTGTTTTTTCAATACCGTCTGGGTTTTTTCGACCTAATATGTGAACAGCGCGATTGTGCTGCTTGGGACTCAAACGGTTAAACTACCATATTATATAGATATAAATAATATATATTGTATAAATACATAATCTCGTAAAGAGACTTTAAAACGATATAAATCAAGGGAATATATACCGTATTATATCGAAACCAAGATTTGAGGACAGATAAAGTCAAAATATATACATAAATAAGGAAAATAGTTAACCGCAAATTTGAAATGGAATAATTAAAAATATATTTAAAAAATAATAACGACACTCGTAAAACTCGTTACCAAAGTTAGCTACAATCGCTCTTATCGATGATATAATGAAAATAGAAGTGAAAAACAATTGAAAAAATTAATCGTGTTATATCAAAACCGTGTTCTAACATTCAAAAATTTCGTACCGCATTATATGAGGGATGTCGGCAGATAAGATTTCCTGCAAGATGCGAATGAAACTTTTCACTGTATAGCTCGACTTTAGCTTGGCCCAACAAAGATTATAACAAGGAACAGGTTAAGATCAAATTTAGTTTTAAAAAATTGTATTAAAGCAAGAATTATAGCATATTGTGATCATATTCTAACAAAAAAATGTTGAAATTATATGTTTACCGGCAGTTGTACACTTCCCTGTTTGCTGTCCCTTCCCTTATTTTTGCTTAAAGTTAAGTCAATTCGGACAAAAAAAAAAAAAAAAAATCAATTGTCGACGTGGCCCACATACTATAAAAGACCAGACATGTTGCAAAGTATGTGTGAGACTTTAGGATACTCAAGCGCGAATACATTCGCTTTGGTGGGAATACTAAAATGTGATATGTGTCCTATGACTTGCTATCCGTAATTTTCAGAGGTTTTTTGTTTTTTTTTTTTATTTTTTCCAACTATCATATTTATTTTCATATCCGAAAGAGTTGTTAGTTTTAGATGATAGACGACCTAAGTTCCTACGATTAGAAACTGCGATTTTACTAAGGAACAAGTACGTAACACATTTAATAGTCTAAACAAAATATTAAATGTGTTTAGTCTCTAGTTACAATGTTCTTGCACTCATCACTATATGATAAAAGTATATTAGACTTGTTCCCCCGCTTACGACCCACATCCTAAAAAACTATATTTATTTTTCGGAGGGGAGAAAAAAAACAACTTTCCGTAATAGAAATATCATGAGTTTGTCGCATAAAAAATCACAATTTCACTAAAATTTTCTTAAAATGAGTTTATCTTTCTATTTTTGTGACAAATTAATTTTGTGACCTGTAATGAAGAAGCATTTCTATATACTCTACCCCTTGGTTTGTTATCTCATACAAGTAAAATTACTACAGTGTGGCACGATCCGCTATTAACCTTGCCTTACACCACCCTATAGTTATTCATAGTTATCGTCTTTTCAAAACAAGTCCCTATATGGGCGGTGGTTCCGGGATAAAGACACGTTAATCTACTAAATTTGATGAAAATATCCTAAAAATTTGCGGTCTACAGGTTAAACAGAAGGAAACAAAAAAGACAGACGGACAGACAAGCTTAGATCGATTCAAAAAATGATTCTTATGTTTTCTTTTGTTAAAATGATTACTATCCACATATTCTAGATGGATCAATGCATCTATTAACTTAATAAAAAAAAGTATCTCGAATAGTTTCTCTCCCCAATATTCGGCTTATTTATCATCTCTCGCTGAAATGCTTACGGCAATATTTCAAAACAAATTATTTATAATAGCTTTTGTTAAAATGCTTATGGACAGCTGAAACTTGGCATTTACAATTGTAGTTGAAGGTTACAAAACAGACTTCAAAATGGTGCTGATATCGTAACGAGAACTAATCCAATTAACTTATAACAAATATTGATCTAAAACGACTTGGGCTTTCACTATTCTTCATTGCGGGGGGCAAGTTAATTAAGAAAAAATAACGCTTAACGGCATTTGTCATATTGTCAGAATTTCCTTTGGCACTCAGCTTATGTAGCAGTTACACCTTCTCCTGGGGATAATCAAAAACTAGATCATAATTTCGATCGATTTGCTTTACCTTCGATCGGAAATCGTATATAATAATTCAATTATATATTGTTATATAATATCCTTCATCAACTTATGCTGAGCCATAGGTTGCTCGTTTCTTTTCAGCGATCATTTCATGATTTTATATATAATTTTTGAGAATTAATTAATTGACAAGGGGAAGCTTTAAGAAAGCTTATGCTACAGTGACAATTAAGAATGAGATCAAATCTGAAATGTCACACTTTTTGACTAAAACGATGATTTTTGAAAGAAAATTGTTTCTGAGACGGCTGTAAGCGGGTGAACTCAATTGTTTTTTTTTTTTTTTGTATATATAAATAACATATATGCATTAGAATATTAAGTACATATTACATGTACATGTACCTGTGCTCTGTATTATTATTGTCATAATCATTGTCAACGCAATCAATCAATCAATGATCGATTCAGTCGTTCCTGTAATTAAATTTCGTAAAATGTGTTTATTTTTAAACACATCTTTATTTTATTTTAACATATATTATTTTATTTATTTTTAAATTAATTATTATTTGTTTTATTTCTGCTTTGTTTTGTTTGCTTTTTTTCTTTTCTTTTCTTTTTTTTTCCCCCTTCACGTTTATGGCATTTTAAGTATTTGTAAATATCTTCTCCTTATGGCAGCTACTTGAAAAAATACTTTCAGATAATCTTAATATAACAAAATCGATTTTTTTTTTTTTTTTTTTTTTTTGCGGAATTCAAAATTTGACTTTTCGTCACATCTTCACTGTAAAGACAGTGAACAAAACAATATCCGAGCATTAAATATTTATTGATTGCGTACATCTTCGCTGACATATATGAGAATCTCTGTTCCGATATTTGTGTGTTAAATTTTATGTAAAATGATTTGGATGCATTCTTCTTAGTCTAGTAATGTAAAGTCTTGAAATGAAAACGAAATGGAAGAAGAAGGAGGAAATTAAAGGCTACATTAGATGCAATAATTTGGTAAAATAATATGATTAATATATTATTTAGGCATTGGTTGGTTGCCCTCTTCCTTTTGCAATTATTTTGTAATTTTAAGTAAATATAACTCGTATACAGAGAGAGACAGAGAGAGAGAGACAGAAAGAGAGAAAGAGAGAGAGAAAGAATACCAAATGTAAGTAAATTAACAAACAGTTTTTGGTTGCATTATATATATATGTATGACGAAATGTGAGCAGAAGTTTTAGAAATTTTAAAAGAACCAAAGATACACACATGCATATAAACATACGGTCACGTACATCTACATGCGCACGTATACTATATATATAAATATGTTCTTTTTATAGTTACTTGCATATGTGCAAACGAGCATTTTATGCTCATATAACATAAAAAATTAATGAGGGTATGGTAAAATAAGTATTGTATATAATTATATACACACACACACATATATATATATATATATATTTATTTATTTTTTTTTTTTGAAAACAGAAGGCAAGTTGAAATTTTTATGTGAAGGTAATGAAATGCGCAACCGAGCGTCAAGCGTTTAAAACGTTTAAATAAATAGAAATGGGGAAAAAAACCACATTTAAGATCGTCGATGAACGAGAAAAAAACAAACTAAGAGAGAGAGAGAGAAAACAAAATTGTTATTATGGAAGAGAAGAGTGTAAAGAAAAATAGTACAGAAAGAGATGTTATGTGTATGCCATGGCATGCATGAAATCTTGAGCCGAATCTTTTCATTTATATTTTTTTGTTTTCGAGATCATTTTAAAAGAAGAGAATGTGAGAGAGCAACAAATCAATTACTCACAGATGGCTTGTGTTTATTTGCATGAGACTATAAAGTGCCTTGCGATCTTAACGTTCAGTTTATTCAGTTTTATTGAAAGACTTCTAAGCATTAAATCGTATGTGCGTGTTCTGTCGCTTAACTTGAAAATACATAAGTGAAATATTTCTTACTTACTTTTAACTGCTTGGCGTGTTCAGCATAACGTTAATAGAGTATACACATATATATGCATTGAAAGAATAAAAAAAAAAATAAAAAATAAAATAATAATAATAAAGACAAAAAGACAACTAATTAAAACGGCGTTATGGATACTTTAACACGTTCATTGCAATTCCAGTTACCACAAGATGTACACATCGATAATTATGCGCAGAACACATTGGAAAATTCATCGAATTCTATTTCGCATAATCAGCTTTCAAGCACGACAATTCCTAATCAGTCGGCTGCTAGTGATTTCCTTCATAAATTAGGTGCCACACTTCTCAATTCCATACAAATGCAGAATTATCAGAAACCTGTTAATAGTTTATCATCAAATTCAAATCAAATGAACGCGAACGTGATACCAAATCATATTGTGATCGATACATCACCCGGTTATAGTGCCATGGAAGAGATACAAAAGCAATTGGAATATGATAAATTTATGAATGAGGTGTGGATTGGTGTAGTGTTGACTTTGATTTTTATTTCTATGATATTTTGCTTCTGCTCGTGCTTTTTATATCATCAGTTTAGAATATGGAAAAGGAATTGTAAGTATTACCTGCTAATAGGATAAATTTCTCTTTGTCATATAAATCGCATAACATAGATAACGAGAAAAAAAAAAAAAAAACAAATTAAATTTAACAAACAAAATCACTGCAATGGGTCACCGACACTTTGCAGAATAAAAACTTTATATGGGCAGTGGTCGAGCGACTTGTTTAATCCGAATATCCATTTACAATAGTACTTCGGTGCGTACGAAATTTCATCAAAACATTTCCAAAATTGCGACTTGTCGATTGAATACAAAATAACAAGGCAGACAGACAGACGGACAGACAAGCTTAAACCAATGCGAAAAGTGTATCTAAATCGATCGGTATAATAAAAGGTGACTCGACTTCAAGTCCTTCTGGGTGTTGTATATATCGGCACAAACTTAATAATCCTCGGCACGACAAGTGGTGCAGGGTGTAAAAAAGTAAAAATAATAATAATAAAAAAAAAGAAGTAATTTTAAGTATCTTTCAATATCCCCGAAAGCAATCAGATGTTAGTCAGGTGACACAAGCCCTTTATAAAACCAATAGAATCTTAAAGAGAAAAACTACGTTTGTCTTACGCTGCATATTTTCATCCAATCATCGCAAAAATGTGTGTGTTCATAAACCCTTTGGACTACACAGTATTTGCGGATTGTGCGAGCCATAGTAAACAGGATCAGTCAGTCGAGATCAGCCGTGCTATTTAGTTGTTAGGCCGTGCACTCGAACTTGCCCAAAATCTACGCATTTCACGACATGTATATTTCGGTGAATCCGTCTGAGTGGCCCGAGTAGGCAAGGGTCCCCACTAGCAACTCAATGGTCGTGGATTCAAATCTCAAAGTCGTAAGCCTTAGATGCTAGTGCTTTAAGATTTTAGTCTTAGAATTTATTCATTGGCTAAATTTATAATAATAATAATAATAATAATAATAATATTTCGGTGAACCAAAATGAATCGTGTGAAATAATAAATAATGTTTCGGAGCAAATAATAATTTTAATACATATAAGACGCTTATGGCACAATTTCGTTACCGCACGTCTGACACGTGATTGTAGGCCAAACGGTTAAAATGTAAACTAGAGATGGCTTATATTATTATAAGGAGTCATTACCATAAGTTTATGGTTATATGTCGCGTAATCAATTTGAAGAAAGGAAAAATAATATTTTGATATTATGTTTGTTCGCAACTTCGAAGTTGCGATTGCAAGAAACAAACAAATGATGCAAAGTTCGGTTATTCTGCCCATATATAGAGCTAAAGCGTATAGCTGTACACTTAATTTGTCAATATTTATAAGACCCAATCTAATCCTTGTATGGAAATACATAAATGGCAACTTTTTAAGCAATTAAGATTTATTATATGATTTTCGTAATTTTTTCTTTCTTTTTTCTCGTAATGCCTTTGCCTACATTTGAAAAAAAAAAAACCTAATGGCTATATACTATCGATTCATTTTATCTATTAACGGTGCCAAAAAAAAAAAAAAAAAAAAAAAACCGATTAAAATCATTATGAGGAATTTATTCGTAATTCTAGCGTTTAAGAGAATTAATGTTTGCGGGGGAACGAAAGCT